CAGGACAAAATCATTGGGCTACACCATGACATGCCTTTGGTTGGGCATGCTGGGATCAACCAAACGCAGGAGATGGTGGAAAGGAATTACTGGTGGCCAAGGATGGGGAACCAATTTCGGAAATACATCCAGACTGCGAGGTATGCCAACGGACCAAGACCAGGAGAGCAAGGATGGGGACTCTGCACCTGCATGCAGTTCCAAACGCGCCATGGGAAATCATCTCCATGGATCAAATCGGACCCTTGCCAGTCAGTAACGGGTATGACACAATTCATGTGTGGTGTGACACCTTCACCAAAATGATCCATGTCGAACCAATTAGTACTGACATCAGCAGCAAAGGAGTAGCACAATTGACAAGGGACTGGGTCTTCCGCTATCACGGGATTCCTCACAAGATCATCACCGACAGGGACTCATGATACATCAAGGGCTTCATGAAGGAGACAGATCAGATGTTGGGCATGGAAATGAATCTGGGGACCGCATATCACCCAATCACGGATAGGCAGACAGAGCACATAAATCAGGAGATCAAGCACTATCTCTGCATCTATGTCAATTACCATCAAACGGACTGGTCGGAATGGCTGGGAATGGCAGAGTTCGCATATAACAACAAAATGAACATGTCAACCAAAATATCGCTGCTCTATGCAAATCACGGATATCACCCATGGAAGGGAGTGGAACAGCGGATGGAATCGAGGAATGAGTCGGCAGAGGAGTCTGTAAAATGAATCAAAGAAATAAAAGACGAAGCAAAAGCAGCACTAGAAAAAGCAAATGAAAAAATGAAAAAATACTACGATAAACAAAGAACAGAAGTTCCGGAGTTGAAGGTTGGGATGAAGGTGTACATAGAAGGGGAAAATATCGAGACGGATAGACCATCAAAGAAGATGAGCAACAAGAGACTGGGGCCATACAAGATATTGGAGAAGGTTGGAGCGGCTGCATGGAAGCTGGATTTGCCGGACACGGACCGAAGGCATCCGGTGTTCAACGAGTTACTGTTGACACCCTATCATGAACCACCCCCCCATCGCTGAGAGAAGAGGCCCGTAGCCAAGATGATTGGAGGAGCAGAGGAGTGGGAAGTCGAAGAGATTGTGAAAGAACAAAATGTCAGCTGAGGGAAACAATACTTGGTCAAATGGAAGGGATGGCCGCATAGCGAGAACACCTGGGAACCATCACGTCATCTTACCCACGCAAAGAAGGTCCTGAGAGATTGGCAGAGGAAACAATCCAACCCAGACACACGTGGCAGAGGAAACAATCCAACCCAGACACACGCATTCGCCTCCTGCCAACGCTCGAAGCTGGACATTGGGATTATCTCATCCATCGCTACAAACCCAGAGACGAACGCCTTCCATACCCCCAACGACAACTCTTCAACCCTTATGAGAACGTCTTCACACCCATTGGCCTAGTCAATGAGGACATCGACCCTAGAGAGGGGGTAATGTCATAATTCGACCCCTTTTCATCTTATCATCAACAATCTTATCTTATCACGGATCATGGCATCTGACGGTCCAGGCTAGGGATCCAGGGGATTATCTTCATTGATTCAAGGCTGCGCAACATATGCTCCGGAAGGTTCTACTACAACCCATGACCAGTGCTCCATGCGGTACATAGCCTTATGACTCATTAGTTGTAGATATGACTCAGACAGGATTTGGGTATAAATACTGTAGCTACTTGGTTGTATTCTCCAGTCTTCGAATTCACTTCTCTTTTCGACTTTATTTTGGGTTGATTGTCACATGATCCCATGCCCGTCGGCCTGGTAGCGAGTCAAACAATTCTTTGGCAAATACTTTGACGAACTCCCAATATTGATCTGGGATCTTTCCCTTGGTCATTCTCTCCTTCTCCTTTTCCGCTTCTTCTGCAAATTTCTGTGCTGGCGTTTCCTTCAGCCATAAATCCACTTCCTTCCCCAAGTTGACCAATAGGATCTATTCTCCTTCTTCCAGATCCGCTGCGCCCATGTCAAGGTCGATTGCATCCTCATTGCTTGGTGCTCCTCGTGACCCCTCATGTGACACTGCTCTGGGCATCAGCTGAATCTCATGGTCTGTTCCTGCCAATCCACCTCGGGGTTGTGTTCTGTCAGCCAATCAAGACCAATGAAGATCCGAGCTTTTCCTAGACACGTCAGAAGGAATGTGCGTGTCTCCACATGAGGACCGATTCTCATCCTCAAGTCAACGTAATGCGTGATCCGACCACTGATGTTCTTGGTGTTGTTGGCATTACGAGCCACTGTGTGACGATCAATCAAAAACAATAGTCAAAAAGAGAAGTAAATTTGAAGACTGGAGAATACAACCAAGTAGCTACAGTATTTAGACCCAAATCCTGTCTGAGTCATAAGGCTATGTACCGCATGGAGCACTGGTCATGGGTTGTAGTAGAACCTTCTGGAGCATATGTCGCGCAGCCTCGAATCGATAAAGATAATCCCTGGAACCCCTAGTCCGGACTGTCAGATGCCGTGATCCGCGATAAGATAATCTGTGCTGAGATAAGATAAGATTGTCAATGACAAGATGAAAAAGGGCTGAATTATGACAGTGTGTGTGGTGTTGGACTCAGTGATTTGGCACTGTATATGACAACTAGGACGGTCAATGAGAGAGAATTGATGAAGCAAAAGGGACGCATATGATGGGGGAGACACTGAGGAATGGGAGTTGTGATTGTTGAATGGATCCTTGTCCTTGTCTTGCAGCCCACCGTCACTGTGCTTTCCGACCTGCTGTGCTTTGTCTTTGTCTTTGTCTTGCTCATCATCTTTGTCTTCCCTGTCATAATCCTCACCAGCAGGAGCTTGAGAGTCTGACACCAAAAGTCAGTGTCAAGCAGGTGCAAAGAAGGACATGCACATCTGACTGGCTTCTTGCCAGTCCAATACAGATGTTTCACTGGGACTGGTACCAACTTGGTCCCACCCACAATACCTTTAGAGCAGAACTAGACATGTTCAGAGACATCTCCCCATGGCATGGGAGACTTACAGAGCCTGAAAATGATGACATTTGGACCTGGGGCTCATCTCGCTCTTCTGACTTGGCTTACAAACGAGAGTTGTTCAGATCGTTCAGTTCAGCTTGAAAAGCGATTAGTATATGATGAGATGTGCAGAGAGAAGTTCTCTTGCCCTTGATACACTTGTTTTTGCGCTTCTCCTTGGCAAGCTTGTGCTGCAAGTCTTCCACAAGCTTTGCCTACGCAGCACTGTCAATTTGTGCTAGAGAAATCATCAGTCAGGGACGTGTAATGTGAAACAAGAAACAAGTACCTTGCTGTAATTGAGCAGTGGTGGGTTGCTTGGTCCGTTTGGGATGAGGCTGCGCTGGTGCAGAAGACGTAATCAGAGTGGACTTCGACTTTTTCTTGCCCCTCTGTGCCGTATTGAGGGCTGGTTTGTTGTCCTCTGGCTCGGACTGCATGGTGTTTTGAGCTCTGCAGCTGCCAACCATTGTTGCCCAACATTGGTCACACTGGAAGAAGCAAAAAGGAGTTTGTTTGGTGATATTAGTACACACGGCTCAGATGTTCTGCTCTGCTCATGGCCAAATCATTGCCTAAGAAAGTGTTTCAATGCCTGTCAGGGGACGCCGCGCTCCTTGGGCACGTGACCATGCACGTGACCCACTGCGCCCTCTCTGCCGACCCGTGCCTGCTCACTTGTTGATCACCCAGCCTCCTCCTCCTCCTCCAATCCTCATCTCCATCCATGCCGACATCCGCCCTCTCCCTCCTTCCCCCGGCCATCTCCCTCAAATCCCCGCAAGCGGTCTAGCCAAGCCCGATTCCTTGCACCAGGGAGTGCTACTGCCGTATGCACTCCTCCCCCTCCACTTCGGCCTTCTCCCCGCGGATGTGGTCTACTGCCGTACAGGCTCGTACCAGATGCCCTTGCGCTCATCCGCACCACCCCTCTTCCCAGTCGGGCATTGGTCCTCGCCTCTGATGTCTCCACTAGCTGGCCCGGCACTGGCCTGGCCACTGGGCTCCTCCAGTGTGGCCTTCCACTGTTGGTGTCTCAGGAGCTGGCCATCACTGGCCCCTCTGAGCCACTCACTATCTTATCTGGGTTTGTCATTATCTACTTGTCATCTGCCATTGTTCTATGGCAGTGATATCCCATCATCATCAGTCACTTGTCACAGCTGACTATATAGTGTGACACCTGGGCACATGGATCCTTGAACCGTTCTCTAAGGATCCCCCTCTGTGCTCAGGTGAGTAGTATACCTCCCTTGTATTTGATAGTCTCTAAGGATCCCCCTCTGTGCTCAGACTCATGTGAGGTTGTTGTGTGCTGTGTGCTCTCTTCCTTCGGGCTGGCAGGAGTTGCCCTTACAATGCCAGTTTTGCCGCCGGAAGTTTGGCAGCACTGTGGGCTCAAGTCCCATACCTCTCAGAGTGTGGCCTGCCATGCCTAGCTCTTGAAGACGTGTGCAGAGATCACCTTGTAGCGTGAAGATTCACTTCTACCACAAAAATACGCCCTTATAGAGTTGGTGCAGAGTGTGTCTGGTAGGCAGCCTATCATCTCCCAGGAACACTAATTTTGACCTCCTGGTCAACCCGCGACAGTCTCACTGCGTCAGGCCTAAGTCCAACACTCGACGTCTCATTCATTTATTAATGCCACAGGGACATAGACTTATGTTCCCACATCTTATTCATTTGGCTTTTTGGTTCCCTCCCTGATCTGCCACGATCAGGCTTCTTTTTGGCATGTTCACCATATAAATTCTTAATTTTTCAGGCTCGAGAGTCTCCCTAGTGCGAGACTCTCTTTCCTTCTGACCACCATGTCTGCGCCCAACCAGAGCCCCTGCCCCCAGGAAAGCAACTGTACTAGGGTTCTGTTTATAATTATTCCAGTTTGAAAAACATGTTTACAAACCGGTATGCATACCGAGGGTGTTTATAAACCAGTATCTAAACAAATAGCCCAATTTCATCTAGAATATCGTATCTAGAGTAGACTCGTCTAAATTAAGGGAGTTCCGAGCTTTCTGAATTGATTTTGAACTCAAACCGGTGCCCTTAACGTGGTCACTGAGACTCTGGACCTCCTCCGCACCGGGTACAGCTGTATCACTGAGTAAATCTCGGAAGAAAGCATGTTGAGTATTCACTCCCAGCTGCGCCGCTGCAAAGACCGCCGAGGGAGTGATACCCAGGTCAGCTTGAGCAGTCTGTACCGTTTCCTCGAGTCGTTCCAGCCCCGCTGCGCAGTCCACGGCTAATGGTCCATTGTCGCCCTCGTCCTTAGACTCTCTGTTCACGTCTGTCATCACAGCCGGAGTCTTCACTTGTGTTGGTATGAGATTCTTGACCGCGCGCCACCGTAGGACTGGGGAGATTTTAGCTGGTGCATTCTACACAGATTATCAGTCGAATCGCTTCGAAGAACTCGAATTACAGAGATGCACCGAATTCTGACGCTGCTGACGACGGAGATGCTGCTGGATCTTGGTCATGGCAATCACTGTTTGAGCGCTCTGATTAGCGCGGTCGTTTGAGTTCAATCTTGTGAAGCTGGACACTGTTCGCTCCTCGGCCATTGAATTCGGGAGAATAGCCAGAATCCGAATGGCCAAATACTGCCGGACTATGAGCATCGAGAACAAGGGGCATTTTTGAAATGTTACATACCGCAAGAAGAGCTGCATCAGCCCGATCTCCCATCGCAATCCAATAGTGGTATGGGCACCTCCAAGCTGAAGACCGAGCAGAGAATGGTGGATTTTGATGTGTATAAGCTTCGACCTGACTGCGTAGAGCGCTGAGAAGCTCTGACATCGTTTCAAACACTGCATATTGCGGCGGATTGCGCTTGGCCTTGATGTCAGCCATGACGAGACTGTAGAGGTACTGTCCGACCAGCGTATAGGATGGCATCGAGTCGCGTAAATCCTTATCGGTCGCGTCTGCAGACCCTGTGGCAGTTGTGAGGATTGACGATCCCGAGTCCTTGTCGAGCTGGTTGACAATGCGCTGGCAGAGAATCGGACTAGTGACTCGATCTAGAAACAGAATGAAGTTGTGAGCACAAGTTACTCACTGAATAAACACGTACCTGCGTCGAGAAAGAAGCCTGCAAGATACAATGTAGCTCCGGGCGCACCAAAGAACTCTTCGAAGCGCTTGTTGACTAACCCTCGGACATCCTCCTGCGTGTCCTCAGGTATGCTGAGAGTATCCTCGGCAAAAAGCTGATCAAGAACAGCTGTGATAGCCACAAAAAACATCCAGACATCTCCAACTGTCACCTGCGACCCCTCGAGGCACTTTATGGCTCGCGCAATCGGCTCCAGAACAGCAACGAGCTGTCTAAGTTTTATCTCAAAATCGCTGTATTCGCGAAGGTTCCTGATCCAAGACAGATCTCGACCACTCTGCTCGTTCACAGTCAGAAAAAAAGAACCAGATGATTTTCAAAGAATATCACCTTGTTTTTTTTGTTTACAGCAACTACGCCACTGTTGGCCAGCGCGGAAATGGCAGGCATCACCGGCATCAGCGCAGAGCCCGCCCAGTAGATTGTACCAAAGCGAGTCTTGCCAATCTTCTCGAGGCCATGATTGATGTCCAAAATGACGCGCATTCCATCCAGATGCGTAGAGGACATGGTTGACTGAGAGAAATGCGATACAATGTCGCGTATCTTGAAGATAGGCTGTGTATTGTCAACGTTTGAGTCCAATATCAACTTCACAGAACTCACCTCGACAAAATAATCGAGTGCACATATATTCTTGATGAGGTTTGAAGCGTGGTGACACGGATCAGGGACAATCAGGAGCGTAGGGATCTCCTTGACTAGCAGCTCTCGAGACAGCCGTGTGTTGCCCGTACTGTCTGAGCTGACACCGGAGAAATTGTCGAGGCCAATGCAATCAATCACCTTGACGCACAGATCGATCAATTTTATTAAATATATGAGAAAAATCTCACAAACCTTCAGCGCGGCCTTCTTGATATGCTCAGCCGTATGTGATGTCCCAGAAGCCACATCTCCGTGAACAAAATAGGATTCACGGTCTCTTGCTGTTGTAACGTGGAACGTATAGATGGACTGACCGCGCTTAATTGTGGCGCCATCATAACTGATCGTGAGATTATATTCCTCCTTGAGCATCTTGTACGCTGCAGCTGTGATCCGGGATGCTTCCTTAGGAATCTTGTCCGATGAGAACGTCGTTGATGCGTAAATGTGATTCTTCGGATCAAGATGATTGACAAATCTGCTCATTCGATTCAGCAAGCATGAAGGCACAGATATTGAGCAGACCTACACTCGGAAGTGGTGGCTGTCAAGGAGATGCAGAGGCAAACTAGCGCTACAGACAAGCTCGAGAGCTAGTAGATTGGTTTTTGTCTCACGCTCGTCTTTCCCTGCTTTTACAAACCCCTTGAAGGCAGAAGACTCCTTTGAGGTGCTGGGCTCGCTAGCCTTGTCTGCCGCTTCAACTCTTGCGCCTAACAAATCATCAGCGCTTGCAAGCAGTGCTTCCTCTCTGAGGTTCTCAGAGAGAAAGTTACACTCCGTTGCATGTGACAGAACACGACCTGATGCACGAGGGGAAGCCCAACTCCATTGACAGCCTTCGGCTGCACATCGGAAGCGCTCCTTGTCCGGTTTACTGATGGAACGACACGCAATTGAGAGCCGATCAAGCAGAGTGTTTGTTGGTGGGCCTCGGCTGCGTTTGCCGGAAGGGATGGTGTTGCTGCTGATCACAATGTCCTCCAAATCATCAAACTTCCATGGAAGCTTATGATTCTGTCAGAGAGAACCATTGATCTCTGATCCCGAGACTGCACTTTACCTTTCCCTGCTCTGTCTTCTTGCGCTGCTGCTCCAGCACTGCTTCACCATGCTCTTTTGCCGCAAACTCGTCCTTCCGTGCTCTCTTCACAGCCTTCTCTCTATTTTGCTCCTCCTCAAGTGTTCGCTTGCCAGCTGTGGTTGTCACCGGTCGTGGGATCTGTTCTGTATCAGACAGCTGCCGTTCCATGAACGTTAAGTAGCTCACACGTCCACCGGTATCCATGATTGCCTTCTTGGCTCCGACAATCAGATCATCCACCCATTTACAGAGCAAGATGTTCGATCCGTGCGAGCCGGTGATGTACTCTCGAAGGACGTCAATCACTGCCTCTAGTCCCGGTCCCCTGGACTTGAACTCTACAGTTCCCTGCGCTCGCGAGCCAAACGAAACTTCGAGTGCATGATTGACGACACATTTGTTATCTCCGTATTCTGCCACCTCCTCCTGATCCAATTGAAAGTCACGAAAATCGTGAGTCGTGCTGATTGGGATCTTGGCGGGTAGAGATTTCAGACAACGTGCCAGCTCCTTCAGCTGGTCCGTATAGTGTGCGGGTCCCCCGGTGGTCGACATGGGCGGTGATGTGCACAGAAGCGCGCTCACAAAAATTGATTGATGGATGATGTAATCGGTCTGTAAACGGGCCGATTTCACGTCGGAGATAAAAACCGTGTTTATAAACAGCAGTATGTATACCGGTATGCATACACCTTCCACATACAGAACCCTAGACTGTACGCAACATCTCTGGCAATTTCTGGATGATAATCCATCCCCAGAATGTGTTCAAGTGCCTGTTTGGCCAGAGGCAAAGACATGGACTCTGAGCATGCAAATGTCAGAATTACATCCCATACTGCTTGCGTAACATCTGTTGATCAAAAGATCATCTTATCATCTGCCAGATGGATGTTGTGATACACATCTTATGACTCCATCACGTATCATCTAGAGTCATGTTGACTCATATCAAATAGACACCAATAGCCCTCTGTATTGTATATAAGGAGGGCTCTATTACCCTGTAATCCAAGTCTCTTGACTACTCCCGCATAGTGCCCACACTAAGCTCTCAACTCACACAGGTAGGCTGCTAGACGCTCTCCCCAGTGCTCAACAACATCAGCTGTCAATGTCTTTTTTAGGACAGATCTTTGCATGCTTCCAAAAGTTGGCAATTGTTGCCTTGGTGACATTGCTCCATGCACTCTCAAGCATGCGCATACTGCTCAGAATGTCAATTTTGAATTGCTCTGGATCATTGGTGGTGTACAAATTGAGACAGCAGATAGCCAAAGCCTGCCAGTAGTGTGCTTTGAGACAGCAGATGATGCCTGCATTGCAAGGCTGAACAAAGGATGTCATGTTCGGCTCCAGAAACTTGACACAGATGTTGCTGGGTTTGTATGTCATGGCAACGTGTCCTGGACAGTTGTCAATGAGAAGCGGGATGTACCGCTTCTGACATCAAAGTTTGTTGTTCCATTTACAGATCCATTCTATCCACAATTCAGTGGTCATCCAAGCCTTCTTATTGGCTCAATAATAAAGTGGCGGATCTATGTTTGCAGGGTTTACACCTCTAAACACAAGGCTTCATGAACTTCTCAATGAACATCAAGTTCAGTTTCTCTGTGCCTGTTGAGTTGCAAACCACAAGAGCAGAGATGCAGAACTTGTCCTGCTTGGTCCCATTCATTGGCACAGTACAAAGGGTCCGGTCTGGAGGCATTGATGGAAAAAGCTGGTCTTGTCAGCATTCCAGATGTCTTCAGGAGTATAGCTGGAACAGATCTTGACCAAATGTTTATGTTCTGCGTCCACAGCTTTGAGATTGACAGATGCAGCTTCACCATGATGTCGCCGTTCAATAAGACCATGTCTAAGCAAAGTTCAGTAAAGAATTGAGATCCACATTTGGGCAGACATGCACACTTTCTAGAAGGAGTCAAGCCAACCTGTGCCACGCAAGCAATGGTTATCAGGAATCTTCAGTGCTTCCTCAAATCTCTTCTGTTGTTCGATGAGCATGGCACCTGTCACAGAGCACCGCTTTTGCTCCATATCAAGAACCCAAAAGCCCAGAGCCCAATCAACTTTGGGCGAAGTCACAATTTGCTTGCGCTTGTTTGAGAGCGCAGCAGAGTTCTCAGCAGTAGTGTTGTTCCGGGTCGAGTCGGGTCGGGTCAGAGGTGGGTCGGGTCGAGGGATTTTGCCCGACCCAACCTGGGGGACTGGGTCGGGTTGGGTCGCGGGTTGGGTCTGGGTCGAGACCCGGGTCGGGAGGTCAGAAGATTACACAAAAATTGCATTACATTTTGTATGCAGTGTTGTATGTGAACGAGAAATAGACATTGAAGAATATTCTAGATGTCTTCGTCATCCTCTTGCTCATCGGGTTCATCTGCGAGACAGCCATCACATGCTTGGAATTCAGGTTAGGGTTTGTGCGGGGCGTGATCGCGGGGTTGTCCGCAGGGTGGGACAAAGGTGGGAATGTAAAAATCAACAGCCTGTCACATTTGCAGGCTTGTGGCTGCGATCCAGAACCCCACGTTTGCGTTGCAGGGGTGCCGCAGACCTCCAGGGACTCACGTGTCAATGCACCTGACGTGACCCGGGTTGAGACCCGGGTCGTCGGGTCGCACAGATAGCCCGACCCGACCCCGACCCGGTCTCTGACCCGACCCGACCCACCTCTCGGGTCGGGTCGCTGCGACCCAGGTTTCGGGTCGGGTCGCAGGTCGCGACCCGACCTGGGACAACACTACTCAGCAGCAAGTTTCAAGATAGCCTCCTTCTTGTCCGGTTTGAGATGCTTTGATAGAGCACCCTGAGTAAACAACAGTCTTCCTCCTTTGGCCATGGATCATGTCACAAAGTAATCCACTACAGCTTTCTATTTGATTCCAGGGTTTTTGTCAATGTGTTGAACAACCTGAAGCTAGTCATACTGTGTCAGATTCTGCAGCCGGTCCTGTCCAAGAATAGCAGAATAGCGGTGAGCTTGTTTTGGCTTCAGACCTGGCTTCACATGCTGTGCAGCTTTAGCAAGAGCCTGGGTCAGATCACAGTCACTGGTGCAAATTGCAGGAGACTTCTGTTTAGGTTCGGCAGGCATAATGAAAGTAAAAAATAAAGAGTGTATTACAGACATTATATATAAGTTGGGAGGCCATTGTGTGTCCACTGTTCACTATTGTTCAATGAAAGAGGAAAAGCAACCTCCACTTTGATGGCCCGTGATAAGGAATATGATGCTGAGGAAAATCACACAGTTGTATTCCTTATTCTGGATGAGCAACGATGGGATATTCAAGCTTTCCCAACCTGGGAAGGGCAAAATTGCATTCCAGATGACGGATATTCCCCATCAAAGTATTCCTGATGAGCAACTCGACTGTATGTACCAGGTTTCCTAATCGGGACGTGTTTGACAACATTTACAAAGTGGCATTGATTTGACAGCGTTGCCGGTCCCCATTATCCAATCGCACTCACCGAGCACTCACGTGATCTACTTAATTGTTCCCAATATGCCATTTGTCTTTCTCCTCGCTCGGTCCCATACGCTCAAAGATGTGATTTCCGCGACGGATTGACTGGGATCATCTTTGTCAGCGCATCCAACGTCACGATTCGTCTGCTATCCAGGTCTGATCGGGCCGACTGGGATTCGATTCTGGCGAAGAACAGTAGCATTCCAAGTGCGGATATACAGGCCCTTCAACACCTACCTCGCGACAACCTTCTTGTGCACTTCGAGCTCCATTGGGATCTTCGATCCAGGCATTGTCCCAATGATATCTCGGACAATGTATTCCGCTCTTACAATCCCGCTCTGAATGGAGATGGAGATATGAGTCGAGGTCGCAAAACAAAACATCGAAACCACGCACTCGGCACCCATTCTCCTCTTCCTCCTCGTGTGCAGACAACCACTCAACATGCGGGCCTCCGTTGCTCCCGTGCCCCGACATCGCTGCGATCATGTGACCAAAGCCGTGAAAGTCGACCGGCTTGCCGTTCACGGTCGCTTTAAGGGATCGCGAGAAGGTCTGATCGAGCGCGGCGAGCGTCAGCTCGTGCGTCGGTGCGGTAAAAGTGGAGCCAATGTGTGTGCGAGACCACTCGCAGAGTGAGGGGAGGGTCTTTGATGTGTTTTGCATTTCCGGTGAGCCGCCTACTCACCCTTCGAATTACGCTTGCTTTTATAGCTCGATGTAGGTCCTTCTTTCATCCAACGGATAAAATTCGCTTAATTTTCCCCGCATGTCTCCGCATGTGTACTGGATTCCCTACTTAGAGCAGCTGTGCATGGCGCCCGGTTCGCGGACGATATCTGTTACATACGCATCCAGAGTAAGGAAGTGAGAGAATATGATGCGAAGAAGCGAGATGACGGCACCCATTCTGCTGCGGATTTTGAAATTTGGTAGCTACATCTTTCCATGACAGTTTCTTCATGATCGCAATTAGTTTTCCGAGCTTGATGTGTGGAATTGATGCACCGAATACACAAGGTATCCCTACGTAACAGTGGAGGAAAAGACTGTTCCCTTCTACAGAGTACCAAACGGATCGAAAATAAATGTTTGAATCACTTCCAAAAACTCAACTGCTCTCGACGAATGGTTCCGTCGGTCAGTTCTTGCCTCCGAACGCAGAGTAGCAGGGAAATTGTGACGGCAGTAACCTAGACGGTATCAGTCGGACTGTCAATCGAGACGTCCGCATGGCCGCCGTTTTTTTCTGTAAATCTCAGGCCAGTTCTTTTGGATGCAATTTTGTTGCCCGTACGTTCGTTTACAAGAATCAACTCTTTCATGAGACCAAGACTCCCTGCTAATTTTTTGGAATAGCGCCTGAGAACTGACTGGTTTGATAAAATTGACTACGAAAGGTATTCGGACAGTCACGGTCTTGTTTGATGATATGCAAACATGATTAAAACCAGTAATCGCCATCCAATAGCCTCATCCTCTCGAATTGCATCGAAGTTGAGCACACATTCTGTTTCGAGACATTCTGTTCACGCGGAATTGGTCCCGAAACAAGTCCTCAGAGCCAACATAACTGAGCTATCACCGCATCGAACCTCTCCACTTCCGAGATCTTGTCATTCAGCACTCTGCCATGGCCGTTCTTCCACGTCTGGTATTCCTTTCCTTACACCGCTCACTTCTCGATCTGGAAGAAAGCCCATCACATGCCTTGTTGGCCGTTCCGTCGTCCTACCCCTTGGAGAAGACAAAAAGGCGAGGCTCTACGCCTCCCAATTCAAGAGGAAGGAATGATCAATCATAGGATTCGTATCCACATCAAGAACAGGTAATCTGAGACAGTTGTCAGCTGAACGTCTATTGCAAACGACACGAGATCAAAGTGCATTTTCATTGTCCGACGATCCCCTGCACGAGTCGCGACCTCGTCGGTTTTGGCTGTGCTGCAATGGAAGCTTCTGAAATCCGTTTCAGGTGCAGGCAGCTCGATATGATCCCAAGCGCTTTGCGTCCGCCTTGCGGAGATTTGGTCCAGTGCAGGTTCCTAGATAGCGTTTCATCAGCTCATGTGCGATGCGGTCCTGAGTATCCTTTGAACATGTTCAATTAGGAAACCAGTCACCGGTAACCACATTCCCCGGAGCAGCCACAAGAGCTTCATTGATTTCCAAGTGGCAAATCGGATGCGGACAGCCCAGTCTTTTCCATCGATTTCTTGTAGTACATAGTGTTGAATTTCAGTAGTATTCCCGGGATGCAGCTCGGCTGTCCCGGAACGTTCCAGATCATTAGATAATTGTCTTTAGTCATATACCAGTAAATAGAAGAATATTCTAGATTACTAGTATTACTACTATATAACTAAGCTTGTATGTAGTGTACGGGCATCAGTTTGCCCTAAAGCAATCCAAGTTTATTCCTCATTGCTATTGCAAACCTACACTACAATTATCTAATCAACCCCTCGACCCATTTTCCCCAACACAAACTGATCTCGGTTCACGTCACCGATAACCCGACTATCTCCACATGGCAGACACCATCACGGCCAACGCATTTCGGATCGAACCGCTTGCCGGTTCATCAAACTATGGAGCATGGAAAGTCCAGATGATGGACATTCTGACAGAACAGAATCTTGATGATCATGTCGATGATTCCGTTACGCCCCCAGACGATTCCGAAGCATCGAAGAAGAAGGCCTGGATCAAAAATGATCGCCGAGCCCTGTCATCGATCAGACTCCGTGTTGCCCCAGCTGTCGTTCAGCACGTCCAGGGGGAGACCACTGCTCTAGGTGCCTGGCAAATGCTGTCACACCTATTTGAGCTTAAAGGCCAGATGGGCCTAGTCCTCGCGCGCCACAAGTTTTACAGTACCCGTGCCAACCCCGAAGAACCGCTTGAGCCGCACATCAAATTGATGCGACAGATCCAGGGAGAGCTGACATCGCTTGGTCACATGGTTGATGATGCAGACTTTGCTGTCACACTTCTCAGCTCCCTTAGTAGTCAATGGGACCCATTTATTCGTGCTGCACTTGCTTCCCCCACTGCCCCAACCTCCAAAACCACCATCTCCTCAATTCTCACAGAGGAAGCCCGCCGAAACAATCATCCTGCTGATAATGGTGAAATTGCGCTTACTGTACGCACTGCCACCCGTCACGTCAACCGCTTCGTCCCGAAGAACCATGCCATCACCCCTTCCAATTCCCACACGCGCCCGGCTAACTCCGCTACCTGCCATAAATGCGGCGGCAGAGGTCATTTTGCACGCGTTTGCCCAACACGCGACAGTGATGACAAAGAGGGAGAGAGCAATCAAAATGGTGCTCATTTCTTCACAGAATCCGATCTGGTGGACAACGACAATGATTATGCCTTCTGAGGCACCCCCCGAAAATTTCCGACAACTTCTTTGATTGACATGACATGATGTGAAGTGATTTAGCGTGTCGCGGCAGTAGGGTGTGAAGGGCAAAGTGCCGGTCCACACCGGGCACTGTCAAGCATGGGGCAAATCAGGGCCACAAAAATTTCTCGAGTTTTTTCTTTTGTTTTTCTGTTGTGCTCCGGTCCAGCCACGCTGAGGGAGAGTGTTGAATTTCAGTAGTATTCCCGGGATGCAGCTCGGCTGTCCCGGAACGTTCCAGATCATTAGATAATTGTCTTTAGTCATATACCAGTAAATAGAAGAATATTCTAGATTACTAGTATTACTACTATATAACTAAGCTTGTATGTAGTGTACGGGCATCAGTTTGCCCTAAAGCAATCCAAGTTTATTCCTCATTGCTATTGCAAACCTACACTACAATTATCTAATCAACCCCTCGACCCATTTTCCCCAACACATAGTACAGCTCTTCACACGGAGGAGCAAAAAATGCCGTAAAATTAAATTTATTCGAAATATCCGTTTGACACTGACCGCTTAATGGATTTAGTTGGCGTACGGCTCAAATATGTGATAGAGATACTGCACAAAATTTGGGAGCCTGTTCCTCTGTGGACAATCTAGAGAGCTCTAGTCCTGATATCACATAACACCATGGTGATTTATCTGCACCTGAACTTACAGCTTCCATCAAGGCAAATTAGCACCACTCAGACGACGCAACAGAGGCCGAAAGAACCCGAGTCTTATCACTCGACGATATTTTCTCCAGCGTGCGCCCGTGTTCTCCCGTCCCGTGCATATACATAGAGGCGACCTATCCTCTCCGCAAGCCTGCCATGCGCCAGGGGCACCCGGATATTTCGGTCCGCTGCATACACACAGACAGCTAAGGACAGCTACCTGCGATATGGATCTACGGAGATCTACGGTCAGTCATCCACAGCTGAGGATTTCGATCGGCTACTGCCAGTTGGTCGCATGATCATAGGCGGGGAAGATCTCCGATCTCAATTTGGCGGCCGTTCATTGTGACCGATGTATGTACACGTTGAAAAATATTCTCGATCGCTACGAACCCAAGGCGTCCAAGCGAGATAGCCGCTACCTCTCTTTCAGTTGATATCCTCGAGTGTAAAAAGGTGTGTGTGTTTTCTAATTAGTTCAAACTTGCTTATTCGCGTTTCGCAGACAAGCTGAGTTACCTCTCTCAGCCCGCAGTGATGAATCGAGATACTATAATCTATAGCCAGCGGCCTAGAGCTCCGCATCCCGGACCTGACAGAAATGCATCGAGACTGTTCCCGTCCTTGTCTGTAACTATTCCCAAGCTCGGGGACAGTTACAATGACCCTAATGTGGAGAAACGGCGAGGTCGCGTAACGAGTTTTCCCGAGATTGACTTGATCAGGACTCCCCAACTGATGGTGACCGAAATGGGATCGAGTTGGAGCGTGGTTGCTTCCCCCTTGGGCAACACCGATTCGCCGCCACCTTCTCCGACTTCGCCAATGTCGGCCTCTGAGACATTTTTACCCGAAGCAGGTGGGCTTTGACTAGAGAATTGATCGAAGAACCGGCCCAAGACTCTGAGCCAACACAACGGAAGATCGCACATGTCGAAGCCCGGCGAAGACGTCGTGAACAATGTCTTGGCCTCAAAATGGCCAATCCAAGGGTCTGCATTTGCAGGAAGCCGAGAACAGAGGACAGGACAGAACCCAACGTTCTCGTGATCCACGACGAGCACAGTGAGCACATGGGTTACCTGGGCCATCGGCTCAGAGCTGTTTGGAAGACACGAGGAAGAACGCTTCCTCATTTGAGTAGACAGAAACGACGCTACGGGACAACTCACCCGTTCTCTGTTTTGCAGACCCAGACCCGTCACGACCTCCTCGACTTCTCGTGGAGTTTTTTGAACGGTTTTTCTGCGCATGCTCATTGATAGACATGGGCGATCAAGGGAGATGACGTTGTGCACATCCGTCAGAAATCGTGGCATGTTCTGGGGAGTAATCAAAAATAGGTCATCCTCCAAGGGAGTGTGACGGATGACCGAGGGACACATCGTGATCAAAAGGCTATATTTTCTTTTCTGATTTCTTATAGAGTGTATCAGAAGATCTAGAATTTGACTCTAAAAAGCTGCCAAAATAAAAAGCAGCGCCAAATTCTGAGATCATCTAGCCGCGAGGCAGGCAGGCACAAGGTTGTGAACTGGAGTATGGTGGAACTGCAAATTATAGAGATGGAGCTGCAAATAAACCGAGGATTTATAGAAAATGCCTGAGAACGTGGAATTCTAGAACCTGTAATATGCTCTAATCGCATTCATGTCCTATTTGTGAGTCGAAACGTGTGGATAGATCTCCATTATTGTCTCTGTTCGGGTGACCAGAGCATAGCCGTTACAAGTCCAGATAGTCGATTTGCTTCATCGGGCAGAATCCACGTCGTTAAGCACGCGCACGCTATTTTACCGAACCTGAACATATGTGAGATTGGACACCTGGTGTCCAGATTTCGTATCCGAGCGGCATGTGGGCAAGGATACTGAGCATAATGACTGAACCTGGATGACTACCCTCTCGACGTGAACAAGCGGTTATACCATTGCATCCTTGTAATCGCACAGACGTGATCGTCTAAAATGCAACCGACTCCTATGGAAATCTGCTGTGGGTGGCGCATCCGATGGATCATTCGGATTGAGTCTACGGTTATATCATTGGAGATTTGTCATCGCACAAACGTGATCAGGCATTCCAAAAACACGCTTCTACATTTGCTTCCACATGCTCATACCATCGATATCTGGGTCCGCTAATGACAGAGAGCTTTATCCACACCTGACTCTGCATGACAGCATCTGAATCAGGAGCGCATCCAGTGCGGCATTAGAGCGTATCCAGAAAGCAGAGTCTGTTTGGGTGGATTCCCGAGTGACACACAGCGTCACAAGTGACCACATTCCGGATGCTTCCTTGAATTTTGATCTTAGCTTGCAAAAACTTGGTCGAAGACCCAGATCCACCACCGTTCTTACGTCTCCCAGCAGAGATGCGCTTAAGTGATACGCTAGGGACCTCAACTATCAAGCCTCCAAACCCTTTGACGATCTACGGACTCGGATGTGCAGAGAACGCCCTGCTCTAATGCTCGCATTTTCGCCACTCTCGTGACCTTTTTTCGTCCTATCGAAGGCTATCGTGCGTGACTTCAGGCTCTCCGCTTGGTCTCCCAGATCTACAGGGAGCACGGGCGTGCATACTCAGGTCTCACGGAACGTCTACTGATTAGTCTTCTTACTCGTGTCAACGGTTCGAGCTGTTCAATGTCTGTGCTTCATCGTCATCCAAAACATACACCATTGCATGGCCATCAAATTTGAACGACCCACAGCTCTCGTTGGACTCCTCGTAGCCCGCTTCCTCGATCTAAGTACTTGCTCTTTCCGATTGACGGCTGATTGTCTTCTGCACGTGTCGAGCAGCGCAGTCGAACGCTCGTCGCTGCTAGATGAATTCGAGAGCAGCTCCTGGGTCTTGTGTGTTCCAGGCTATCTCCTCTCAGGACTAAATTCCAGTGTGTGTCAACGTTCCATTGGCTTGTGTTTACCGTGCCCAAAGTTGATGAACCCATTCGCCAATCTTTGCAACATCAGACCGCACGTAGCAGCAAAATCATAGTCAAATTTCAAGAGGTCGTCTTCACCAAAACTGTCCGTCTTGGACGAATCCAGTCGATCTTGACGGATACTCACCCTGCGTCATCTTCCAGATCCACATCAGTTCGACAATTACAGTTCTTCGCACGACAATTTCCAGGTCAAGAATTCCAACGATTACACTCCACTTCCCCTCCTCAGATCGTCCTCCGCAGCGACCAGCCAACAAAAGCTAGGGGATGTTAACAATATCTTCAACTGTCAGTCGCGCCCTCCAGTTCGCATTGCTGAGGAAGAAGAGAGGAGCACCATTGACCCAACGCGACAGCCTCATGGCAATGAAGAGGTGAGCAAGAAACAGAGGGACGCAAACCCATCTCGTGACTTAGCAGTGACCAGACGGGAGCAGATACTCTGTTCCGCGCGCATTCCGGCAGATATCATGCATCCAGCGTATCATCGTTCTTGATCTCCGTCTGCTGCACCAATGTGCGGTATGGCATGCGCTCGACCAAACCCTCCGAAAAGCCGCGGTAGCGCTGTATCACCGCGTTTCGCGCCTCGGCGCTACTACCCATTGTAGGCGACAGCGGCTGGGGAAGCACCGGATGCGCGGGGAACGCCGGCTCTCGGCCTCGTCGCAGATCGTGCTCGTAATCGTAATCGGACGCGGGCGGCGTCGGCGCCGCCGCCCGGAGCGATCCGAGAGAGCTCGACGGTCGTAGTCGCGCACCGCTGGACACCGCGCCATGGCTGGATAGGGGGTTGAGCGCTGGCCGTGTTGCTGTCACGTCCGAGAAGCGGCGGATGGAGCGGGGAGTCGCAGGATGGTCAAGGGTGGACACAAGCGCGGGTGTTGTCGCTGTCGCTGCTGTTTGCGGATCCAGACCTCCCGGGACGAGGACGAAGGGCGAGGAGGGTAATGAGGAGGCTGCGCGAGGGCTGGATGCAAGAGCCATAGACTGGGGACGACGATACTGAGTGCGGCGGCCCCTCCGCAGCGTCGAGGGCGTGCTCGGCGCATCCGGCGGCGCAACCCGCTGCTTACTACTGTTCGTCGAGCGGAACAGTACGCGCGGCAAAGGGAATGTGTGCGGCAGAGCCACCGTATGCAAATCCCGGTCGGCACCTTCATCCGCAGGTTCCGTGAACGCACTGGCGAACTCCGCAAAGCTTGGCGGCGGAAGAGGCGCTACGACGGGTGCGCCGTTGTCGGCGGATGGATTGAAAATGCGCGAGCTCGATGCTGCGAGCTCGAGCCAGTCCTGGAAGTCGCTGTCATCACTGCTCTGCGGAGATTTCGCTCGTTTGCGGAACAGATTCTTGGCGGCCTCCGAGACCGAGCGAGGCATAGGTGGCTTGGAACGTTGTTTCGTTGGTGTCTGCAAGTATCCATCATCGCTCTCGTAGCCTGCCGAATGCGACCTCTTGAAGAGGGATCCTTTGCCATTGGCGGAGAAGAACCGTCGGGAGAACGAGGTGGGGCGACTGGTCTTGCGTCCCCTCGGCACCCCCTCCTTCACTGGCACCGGCTCTTTTGCTGCACCATCATCTTCGAACCTGACCGCGGAGGGTTCTGAGTCGCGATCCGGCAGCTCCTGCTCAGGATCGGCGAAGAACCAGTCTGCGACGCGACTGTTCGTGTCGAGCACGCCCAGCTCGAGGAACACATCGTAAACTGAAGCCCGCAGCGAGTCCGAGTCCTGGCTTGTCGTGTCGGAGGACATGAGGGAGGACGGAGAAAAGGCGCGGAATCAGCATGGGAACAGCGCGGCATGCCTGCAATCACGACATGAGGTCATTCCCCGGCCGTCGTTTCCTTGGCAATGGCGAGGAAAGACACCGACATCTACCATCGCCGCATGTCCCATGCCTGATGAAGCTCCCCGAGGCTGCATATGGAGCGCTCAGATGTGATGAGGAAGGCCCTTGCAGTGACAAGTGTAAGACGACAATTGTCCCCGATCGACTCCATGCCTCTGTGATAAGATTAGATCTGCATACTGAACGGGAACTCCAACACACCGAGAGACAGGATATGTGAGACTTCGAAATCACTCCGCTGCTGAATCTCTGCGAGTGCGCTATCCCAGGTACACTCGAGGGAGAACGCAGATCGACACGTGCGACTTTACACACACTCGTCATATCGTAATCATGTGATCGTGTGTGTTGTCTTTCCATTCCAACTGCCCATGTCAAAGTTCGTTTCCATCAGTCTGAGATCTCATCCTTCTGCACACCTAGTCGGCTAGAATGGTGAACTCGAGAAACCGGACAGCGAGACACTTTTTGAAAGGGGAGATTTGGAGGCCAAAGCCGCACGAATCCGCATCACATAAAATCGGTCGTGGGTCGTGAAACAGCTTCACTCACAATGTCTGTTCTTTCCTGCTAATATCGCTTGCCTTTCGTCTTCGAACATGTCTAGAACACATTTCCCATTCTCAAACTTGACTAGCTAAGCTGTACGCGCTAGTCGTCTGCAGCTCCTCAAGAGCTGGGAAGTCGAATCTCGCAGCGTCATTTACCGTGCGTGCGACCAGACTCTGCAAACCCTCTTAGCGCGACGCGTCCGTTAACAAATTTTCAGGCTCAGCTTCCCCCTCCGCGGATCCGGCGTTGCTGAAGACCAAATGCCCCCTCTGAGGGGGCACGAACCGCGCTGTCGTCTCGGACTCACACGCGGAACGAGCCTTCTGCCCGCGCGAGGTAACACCAGAATTCCTGGCCGCGCTCCGGTGTGTCGGCCGGGCCCTGTGGCAGATCTTCGACCGTACCGTGCTTTCTCCGACTGTGCAAGCCTCCTCTGCCAAAATCCGCATCCGCTGAATCTTGGTACTCCGCCCTGTCGACTCTGCTTCTTCGAGGGATCATGATGCTTGCCCAACCCGAGTTCAGATGAAGATGAGCTGCTTCGCCTCATATCCCTGTTTGCGCTCGTCGGACTTGGGACGAATCTGAGGAACTGGCCCGATCAATGAAGGTCCGACCAACTGACTCTTGTCTTGAACATTGTGATGAGCACAATCCACTGGCTGCTGAGGATGTCCCCCCGATCCACTACCGCCAATGGGCTCTACGATACCGTTTGTATGACTGAGTTCGGAACGAAGGCTGAACCGACTTCGAGGTTCGCATCTATCCAGCGGCATGCATTTGGCATTACATTTTCTGTCTCTACTTATCTCACTACGGCGAAGCTCTGAATCCCATCACGTACGACATGCTCTGGAAAGCGGCCTAGAGATAAAGCGGGTCAGGGTCTGCAGAGACAACATGCGAGCACGGCTCTGCTCACCAGCGGCGAGTACTGTGGGATCATGTGTCCGCTCAGCTCGACTTCAATGTACGTGAGCCCGCGCTCGGTGTGTGCTGTCCCGAGCGGGCCGACGCTGTCGATCAAGAGGCTGTCGTTGGCGATCGGAGTCTGGAAGCCTTGGAGCCCGTTCCAAGTCATGCTGGGCACAGTCGTCAGTGACACAAGTCAATCAGTTCTCAATGATGGGGGGGCTCACTTCTGAATGACAATCCGTGCGCTGTCCTCCTTGTCAGTATGTTGTACCGCATGACACGCGATGGACAGCCACTCACCCCTCCGCAATGAGAATAAAGTCCGCGAGACCATGTGCAATCACCGTCCGCTGGCTCTTCTCGATCACGTTCGGAAGCACCGACACATACGAATCCTCGCTGCGATCACCCCGCGGGAAGACGTCGACGTTGCTGCACTCGGCCCAGGACACGTTGGTGGGCGCGTGGATCGCCTTCTTCACGTCCGTGCGGTCGAAGTACAGCGGAGCCAGCTGCACATCGGGGAACGAGCCCGGGAAGCCGAGCACGTCCCACAGGATGGGGAACGTGTCGAAGATGCGGTAGATGTTGAACGCCGGGTTCTTCACCAATGCTTGGTTGAAGACCGTGTCCCACAGATCGCAGTTCGCCGCTTTCGCGCGCGCCGGGAGAGGGAGGATCCCCTTCGGCGGGTAGTTCAGATGTGTGGAGACGTAGTCCGCATAGTTGCACTGCTTGTTGGTCGCATCGAGCTCATCCATGAACTCTTGGCTGCGAAACGTTCACTCCGATGAACGGCGACAGGCTGACGCATACACCCACTTGAACGCAAACACATTCTGGTACTTCTTCACAAAGTCGACCACAGGAATCTGGGCTTGCACGACGTCCGGGCCGATGACAGCTGATGGAGGGTCAGTGATCTGAGTACAGCCACCACGGAGGACGAACGGTCCGCAATCCAGATGCCTTGCAGGCTCAGGTTGAGTGCGGTCGGGTGCTCGTAGATGTAGTTTGCAATGTCTGATGTATACGATCAGCCACGAATAACAATCACTGTTCACAAAACTTGCATGGAACGTAGAGACCAGCATACTGTGGGGAGTCGTCATGATCTGCTCTGAAGCGTCGAACAACAGTACTCACGCTTTCACCGCTGACGTAGAACTTCTTGCCATTGAGTTCTTTGAAGATGTCCAGGAACTGCTGCATGAAACCGACGAGCTGGGAAGCCAGATCGTTTTCGTTCTGTGCTTGCGTTGAGCGTGGCATCTAGGGTCTACAAGGCGGGGAAACGGACAGTGATGTTCGGTGTTCCTTGAGAGAAGCCTGTGCCGACGGGCTGCTCGATCCAGATCATGCTGGAGAGGTTCGTCCAGCTGTTCACATTTTGTATCGGCTTGGCTGTCCCGGGCTGCCACGAGAAGGGCTGTAGAAGCCAAGTAAGCTGCAGCCTTCTCATGATCGCCGAAGCCAACGTACCCCGTTCTCCTGCAGGAGACCCTCCAAGCTACTGCATCCAGGACCGCCGTTCGTCCAGAAGATCAGATCGTCAAGACTGCCCTCCGGGCCAGGCGGGAAGAACCAGAAGAAGAGCTGCGCGGAAGAAACCGATTAGATCGTCGCGGGAGGCAGCAGTTGGTGGGTGCTTTACGGACCTTGCGTGTCTCCTTGGGATCGCTGCTAATGGGAATCAAGCCGGCCCAGCTAGGCCCAATGTCAAAGTCGACCTCAGGAATGTTCTTTCCGTCGACGTAGAACGCTATTCCAGAAAACGATCTACATCATTTATTCGCTCCACATGCGACGATAACGCACCCGACGCCCGGGGATCGGTAAACGTGATGTTCTTGACACCGGCGGTGGCAGCCAGTGCAGTGGGCCGCGTGAAACGCTCTGCTGACGCTGCCTGGAGCTGCTGCATGTACGCTTTTGACGGGAACGAGTTTCGGGCGCTGGCGTTGCCCACGAGCGCGGCGGCGCTCAAGAGAGCAGAGAGTCCCAGTGCGAGAAACATGTCGTGTCCTGGTGGGCGAAGGAACGAAGGGTCCTACTTATAGCCGTAGTATTTATGCTATCGGAGCAGAGGGATCGTCACCATGTGGCACAAAGGCTGGCGATGCGTCGAGAGACACCAGCAACAGGTAGCGAATTCGCATGGATGGGCTCTTCGAAACGGTGTCCCGAGCTTCGATCGCATGCTGCGAGTCACTACCAACAACTCTAACCCGGAAGCCGGGACGTCATCGGCCAGTTGAGCCCGCCCAGATATTATATCGACGGTAAAGACGGCAGAACACATTGTCGAACGAAATATTCATGGAACCGGTTGTCCGGCGTTAACTCGGGGTGGAACGTCGTGAGCAGGTGCTGGCCCTGGCGCAGTGCTACGATCGTGCGTGGGTCGTGTGCGTCAGCGACCAGATCAGGATCCGGAAGCAGATGGGTAGGAAGACGGGCGATAACGGAAATGTCTGCTTCGGCAGCAACAGACAGAATGACCTAGAAAGGCAGATTGCCGGTCAAGAAGTGATTTGGAGCAGGAAGCTGGGAGCCCCACCGGCGCTCGAATAAAGATCCCCGTAAAAGGACTGGGTTCGCGGCTGGCATCTCCCGCCGACATCCCTTCGATGTGCAAAGCCGCCTCAAACGACTCGCCCTGGGTCCCCCATCCGTTCCTCGCAATGTCAACCGATACCCCACCGAACAGCTCTTGACCCTCCTTCTTCGCGCCAGTGACCGACCGAGAGAGTAAGATGGCGCCTGCACATGTGCCCCACACTGGCTTTGTGCGGATAAACTCCTTCAACGGCTCTATCAGACCTGCGAGTCTAGCCAACAGCGCTATAGTAGTGGATTCTATGCATGCGCAGGCTGATTGAGCGGACGGGAAGATAGATGGAACACACTATGTACACACCACCCCCAGGAATGATCAGAGCGTCGCAGCGTGCGAGGTCGTCCCCGGTTTTGACGAGGAGGGTCGAGAGCTGGCGTTTGGCACTCCGGACGCTTTTGATGCGCGTTTGATGTTCGGCGAAAGCGCCTTGCAAAGCTGTTTGCTAGAGTTGGGACATGTGCTCGGGTGCATGTTGACAGGGCTTGCCTAGGATACCAATCGTGGCCATGAGCGTCGAGTACGAGAAGGAGATGTGGTCGAACCATTTGCACGATCAATCGACACGCCGCCGCGGCCAACTTGACTTCCTCCACATCGATAATCTCATCGAAGTTTCACGGTCTGAGTGAGTGCGAATTCGAATGTCGCGTCCAATCCGCCGGCCAGGCAACCTGGTGTCTGCTTCGGTCTCTTCAGCCGTCCTTCGTACCAAGCGTACCCCCGAGGGCTGTCTTTGGGGTCACTCTCTCGACGACTTTTTCATCGCGAAGTCGGATCAATCGGAGGGATACTCCTGGAGCGACGTGTGGAACACGAGCCTTTTTGAGGAGTTGGGCGTTTCAGAAAGGTCGGACGACGCTCACTGTATGAAGATTTGTGCTCCGTGGCCCATGGCGGATGCAGAGCGCAGTAGGATCTTGAATGAGGAAGGTCACACACTCCACTTCTCACACCCGGTTCTTTCTCATAAACTTACAGTCTAGGCAGCTACTTCGACACCGCCAGGTTCCCCAAACTCGAAGAACGCATCCCTCATTCACATCTCCCAAATCTACTGCATGTGCACGATCCAGATGCGCGAGTCGGACAGAATCAAGGAGTCCTGGTCTATAAACGTCTTCTGCCGGAAGTCGGGAAAGAGCAAAACCCCGGGCATCTCTATCTCACTCGCAGCTCACGCGTCGGATGCGGTCACCACTCGAACGTGTATCACGCCGTCTTTCAATTCGATTCCACCGCCGTACGGGTAGTTGCGAAAGTCTCCGTCGCTAGGACTGAGGCACGCGGGTTTCTGGATCATGAAGCATGCCTCTACGCGTCGCCCGCTTCGTTTCCAGAGTCCTTGAGCGATGCGTATTCTGGATACGCTCTCGTGCCGGGTATCAAGTATCCCGTGCCCGTCGGTGCCGTCGTACCCAAGTTCTACGGATTCTACGTCCCAGAAACGGGATATTCGGTTGACGATGCCACTCAGCCTAGCCCGATCATGTTGCTGGAGGATTGCGGGACGCCGATTGAGCCCCAGAGTCTTTCACACGACGAAAAGTGCGTACATCGGCGCATAGCATCTCAAATCTAATCCGCGACCTCAGAGCGGAATGTTTCTCGCTGTTTCTCAGGCTACATATGTCTGGTATCCTCCAGCGCTCTCCATTCAGGAAGAACATTCTCGTGCAACCGGGCCCGCTGACGCTCCCTCCCGCGGAACGATCGCTGACGACGCCCAGTTTCCGGGTCATTGATTTCGGGAGAGCCCTGGACCGGTCACAAGCACGCCACCAGCGAGACTGGCTGGATGAGAGGGACCAGGAGGTCCGCGATGTACAGAAGGTGCTGAAGATTGAGAGGCATTCCATGGCCTGATTTCCCCTGTCCTGCTTTCTTAGGATGGGGGTTGCGAGCATGGCAATCGTATTACAACTAAGACAGCTTGCAAATTTTACATTCACTTGAGAACCAGTCACTTCGGTCTAAACCCAATTGAAATTCCCTCTAGTTCTACGAATCCCCCCAGCTTTGAACCCATGAACACTCGAAATCTATGACACTGCGCGCTGCGACCTGGCTCTAATGGCCTTCCCATAGCGATAAAACAAGATTGGTATGGGTATCTTCCCAAGTTATGAGCGAAAGAAGGAGAAAGAGCAGACGAGTTCACTCACCATGGCAAGCGCGAGGAAAGCAAGCAGCGATGCAGCCCATCCGTTCCCCAGACCGTGATACATCTGCACGATGAACAGCGGCATCGCAGCTCCGGCCCCGGATCGGATGACGGTTTTGGCCGCGAGCGCCGATGCGACGTAGCCCGGGAACGCGTCGATGAGGTATGCGTTGGCGGAGAAGTAGATCACAACCACTGGAATCGAGTCAGCTTGGATCGAGCAGAGGTGTCAGGAAGCAACGCACTTCCAAATCCGAATGGGATGCCGGCGCTTGCAGGTCCTACCCAGTTTCCACCTCCAGGTTGGACAAATGGTGGGCTGGTCCACCCGAAAATGAACAGTGCTATCAATAACGTCAACATGTGCGAGGTCAAGCAAAGAAACACACATACAGATCGAGACAAATGGTCCAGCGATCATCATGCCCACCAGCCGATCCTCAGGATCTGCTCGCCCGCCCTTCGCTGCAGCGCGCTTCAAGTAGTCTTTCTCCAGGCGGACCGTCATCAGAAGCGCCAGACCCAATCCAATCAACACAGAACAGAAGGTTAGCCCGACTTGACCGTCCGTGAAGTGATAGCCCTCGCCGAAGACGACAGGGAAGCTGAAGAAGAATCCGTACAAGAGTCCATATACCAGGGCGATGAAGAGCGACATCAGCAGCAGGATAGGTTCGGTCATGATCATTTCTGGGGATATATCAGCACGAGTGCCTGGGAAGCAAGTCACTACCCACGAAACGGTCGGATAAGAGTATCGGTCATCATGTCGGCAAAGGACTGTCCATTGAGTTCCTGCTCAGTCATAATATCCGCATTCCCAGTTTCAGCACGAAGGCGAGCAGCTCGTCGGCGGAGCAGAGTCGGCGCAAACGTCTCTGGGAGCGATGTGCACAACAAAAGTCTGTCCCAGTTCATGAGCAAAGCTTGGCCTTTCGGGAGAGAGGGGTACTCACACGGCGCCGGCAAAGATCATGTTCACCCATATAATCCACCGCCAGCCCAAGCTCTGACCTACGAATCCACCGACAATGGGTCCAAGCACGGGCCCGCCATACGGCGCAGCAGCGAATAAGGCGACAGCGATTCCGCGCTCGTTGTTGTCCCATATGTCAGAAATAGTGCCTCCGGCCAAGGTCAAGGGCGCCGATGCAAAGAGCCCGCAAAAGAAACGACAGATGAGTAGTGTTTCGATGTTGGGTGCCACTGCACACGGGATGTTGAAGATCACGTAGAAGAGGGAGGGAATGATCATGAGCGGTCTCCGCCCATAGATCTCGCTCAAAGGTGACCAGGCGAGTGGTCCGATGCTGGCACGCGATCAGCGACTTCCTTATACCTCAGAAATAGAGTCGCAGCTCACCCAAATCCGACCACCATTAGCGATACGGACAGCGCGACGACAACCTCACCGACCCGGAACTCGGCCTGGATGTCCTTGAAGTCGCCTGTGATGACGGCGCTGCCGAAAGTGACGGAGATCACCGCGCAAGTGACGACAAAGGTTATATCTGCGAGAGATGAGCGGTGGGGTCAATGAGACGGGCTCTGAAACTTACACCATCGGCGGGCATTCGACCAATTCCTCGGATCCTCGAGGTCATTCTCCTCCCACGTCACAAAATGGATTTTCTCGAGCCTCGATGCGCGTTCGGGGTCGACCTTCTGAGTCAACACGTCCTTGGCGTCCATGAATCCGGTCTCGGTAGCTCCGCGATACTCCATAGCTGGGATATGCGAGGGAAAACTGAGATCTGGCGCATTTGGATCGTGTCCATGGGTGGCAGTGAGTGCAGGCTCGACGGGTTGCAATGTAATGGTCGAGGCGGGGGACAAGGGGACGGAGGAAGAACCCGCAGGCATGGCGAGAGACGTTGCGCGTGAGGCGAGTAAAATTTCATGGTGCCGGGCCTTAAATAGGGTCGATGCCCAGATTGCGAGCTGGCCCGAGGCGGGACATCCTAAGTAAGAGCCAGCCGTGTCGCGGCGCGAAATGAGTGTGTTGCAAGAAGGATGAAGCGTCTCATCCTTGGCAGGTTGACAGAACGATCAACATGCCGGAGTTATCCGCGTCACGTCACCGCGTGGCATTGATCGAGACCAACTCTTTCGGAGCAAGTCGGGTGAATGGCTCAAAATGGAAAACACCGACTACAGCCACATCGGGAACAAACGGGTGAGCCGGATAGATTTGTAAGTGGATTGTGCTTACAGTAACTTGTGGCAGGTTGTAGCCACGATGAGCTGACAAGTCGCACAACCGGCACTGTACGCATGAAGTTTCCCGGATCGTGATGAAAGATCGGCTGATGAGGAATGCGGCCGGCCATCCAAGGGTGTTCAAGAGCGCGACACGGCTTAAGCCTTACGCACCGGAAAGCGCGACACTACAACGGCACTCCCCGTTTTACCAGTAATCTGAGTCTACCACTGTGGTCTCAGTCTACGGTAACGAAGGCGATTATCCAGTGGCATACAAGCCCTAAAACCGCTTCCTACAACACCTTCGCCTACTCGCAATACCTGAGAACGAGAGTGAGAAAGCAGAGTTACAAGATGATGAATTGACCTGCCTGCGCTCTCCGAAGTCGCCCAGGCCGGGAATGATGTATGCCTTTTCATTCAATCCCTGATCTATCCACCCGGTAATCTAAGCGTGTATGAAATCTCCGGGTCAGAGAAGCATAGATAAGATAAGGACAAATGACTGACGATTTTGACTAGAGGATACTTGGTGCAGAAATTGTTGATTCCCTCGGGCGCGGCAACCTGTTGCTCGCCAGTCAACATCAAAGCCAGATTAGCGTTGCGGACTACGAACGAGATTGATGAAGATGATGCGGTCCTCGGGAACGCCGTGGTCCATCAGCACTTCGACGGCCTTCATCGCAGAGCCTCCGGTAGCTTGTGGGCTTCAGACACATGTCCCGTATGGAGATACTGTGCACAAACCAAGCATTGGATCAAGAAGCAGCACATAGCGGGAGGCGATGTCTTGTGGGAACTGGGAGAGAGAGAATGTGAGCGAGGATATGTGATGTGTGTGCCAACCAGACTCCGCACCTTGGAATAGAACAGCTTCGGCAGCGCTGTCTCCTCGTCCTAAAGATGTCATCATCGGTGTATATCCTCCCATGCACTGGTCGGGCTCACTCGTTGGATTAGGATCTTACCGATGCGCACGCTCCGGCAGACCTCGCGCAGACCCGCCTCCATCGCCTACAGTGCATTGAGCGTTCGGTGCAGCCGTGCAGACGGCAAGCTCGCACCTCACCCGCCCGCAGGATGGAAACACCGCAGATCTTTCCCTCGAACCCGACGCCCTCATACGTGGCCCCCTGCACACGATCAGTTGGGCAATCGATGCGCCACTGCCCGCGGTCGACTCACAGTCGGCGTCTCGACGACCTTCTTCACGACAGGCAGGTGATTCAGCCCCTCCTCCACCAGCAACCGAATAATCCGATCGGAGTAGAACAAAAAGTCTCCTCGTGCGGTATCTTTGGATCGGATGATCGTATACAGAGCCTCGAGCTGGGCGGTCTGCGGCAGCGTGAACACGGAGGGTGGGAGATTGCGGTTCGAGGACTTCGTCAGAGCGGGCTGGGGCGGCGCTACAGGCGCGGCGGGAGTGCTATCGGCCATAGTCGCTGCAGGGGGAGGCTGCCTGGTGGTCGTGCGCCTAAAATGCGCTTCTTCACGTGCTACTGGCATGCTGCATCTCCATTTGGTAAGTTATGCCCAAAGGGTAGGATCGCCAGGGATTACTGATTAGAATGTGCCGATCCAGAGTAGAAAGTCCACACCGGGGATCCGACGGGGCCTCGACACGTCCAAAATGTCGGAAATCAATACCCAGCCGGTAGCGTTCCGAGCCTTAGGACGGAACTTGGGATTCCGAGATGTGATAAGTATGTGATGCTATCAATGATGCAGATGAAGCATCACTGCCAGTTACGACTTTTCTGCAGGTCTTGTGGAGACAGAATATGGTACTATGTCCGGCACGGTCGGTCACTCGCCGTCTGTGAAAATTCTCTGAAAATTCTGGACGTTACATTGTCTCCACCGACTTGCTTATGACGTCAATAAGCCTTGGGCGGATTACCAGCGCTACCCCGATGAAGACCAGTCACCAGTGGAGAGGTTGATCTACCCACGGCATCTGATTTCGACGGACCTTACAACATGGGTCTGTGATTCTTCGGTCGGTACTCTACAGGACCGAGATCTCCGAGCTGTGGCCGAGTCCTGAAATCAGTACAAATAGATGGGGCTTCTCAACTTCGGCGGGTAAAGTGAAGTCATGGCACTCCCACCAGGTCTCGCGTACCTCTCTCGCACTCTTCCCGTGCTGCTGCTGCCCTCTGCTGCCGGCTTTGGACTCCTACAGAGGTTCTACACGCTTCAATGGTGGATCCCATACGTTGCCGCGGTGGTCGCTCAACCTGCTATGCTGATTCTGAATATCCTCCTTTCTCTCGGCTGGGAGCGCTGGGATGCTCGCCAGCTCGGATCTCAACGGATTCCGACAGTGCCAGATGTGCCAGGGGGTTTCCGCAGCCTGAAGACCCTCGGCGAGTTTGCCCACTTTGGATATCCGGCTGAGGCCATTCGTCGGTGGATGGAACAGCTCGACAGCCACACCATCCTCTGCCGCCTGTTATTTGAGAACCGGGTCAGAGTTGCGTAGTCTGTGTTTGTCCTGTCGCTCACTCGGCTTAATGCGTAGATTTTCACGACCGAGCCGAACTACGTCAAGGTAGATCATGCTCTTCAATGATGACGTCTTGGTTTCTGAACTGGTCAGGCTATCTTGGCCACAGACTTCAACAATTACTGGAAGGGTTAGCATCAAAAAGTGATCGAGAGATGCTTCCACATGCTCACTTGAGTCGCTGATACCAGGTCCGGTCGAGGGCCATCGGGGTGCAGCCTTGCTCGGGTCCGGTGTCTTCAACACAGATGGTGTGTACCCGTTAGATCGACTCCTTTGTGGTGAATTAACGGCGGGTGTTTCCTAGATGAAATGTGGAAGTACGTTGTCAGCGCAAGGTTGTGTGGCGTAGGCTAACTCGATCAGATTTCACCGTGGGATGACGCGGCCCTTCTTTTCTCGAGGTATGCGCAAGCCCACCTTTTGCGACGGGTCTTGAATTGCAGCCAGACCGGATCAGTGATTTCGACACATTCGACAAACATGCAAAGGAAGCCCTCGACCAGACTGTAGCGCGCCTCAGCGAAGGTTTCCCCGTGGATTTCCAGGTTTGAACTTCACATGCTGATTAGCCAACGCACCGACCTCTGTCACAGGACGTGGTATCTCGCTTCACCCTGGACTCGGCGACAAAGTTCCTTTTCGGGCATTCTGTGGACTCTCTCTCGGCTGGCTTGCCATACCCGAACTATGCCTCTGAAAGGACAAGCGCCACGTTCCTGGACCATCCATCGAACAAATTTGTCGATGCCTTCATGGACGGGCAACAGTTCCACGTCGATCGGTCGCGCTTTGGAAGTAAATGGGAACTCAACGAATTCTGGGAGGACAAAGTTATGGCTCAACGAAAGGTGCAGTGTTCTGACTGTCGTAGATCTGTTCACGTGTTCACATATGCCTTCCGTAGATCATGGATCGCTTCATTGATCCCCTCATTGATGGCGCTCTGGCACAAGTCGCCAGTCGCAGCAAGCAAGAAGGAGATGTGGACAGCGAAAACCCCGAAAGTCTATTGGAATTCTTGGTCCAAAGCACTGAAGGCTCGTTGAAGCCTTCTATCCTCGATGCCCGCAATATTGAAGTTTGATTTTATTCAGATAAACAAGTCATCCGAGATGAGATATTGAACATGTTGGTTGCTGGCCGCGACACTGTGAGTCTTCCGTGCACTACGAGAACTGGGGTCTTGACAACACGACGATACGAAAGACTGCGGCGACGTTGACATCGTCGCTTTACATGCTCGCTGAGCATCCTCGGATCTCAGATCGCCTCCGCAGCGAGATCTTGAACACCGTCGGGAACAATCGTCCGACTCACGAGGACATCAAGAAAATGCCTTATTTGAGAGCATTTCTCAACGGTCCGTTTCACCTCAGGTGTGAGTGTTTGAACGAATCTGACAATCACGCAGAAACTCTGCGAATGTACCCGCCGGTGTAAGTTTTTGCGCTGGGATCACTGTCGATCTGATGGAAACTAATCGTTGGTTTCTATAACAGTCCAGTTGATGGAAGGTACGTTTGTGCAGTCCAGTTGGATCTTATTGCCAATAATTTATGATACCACACAGAACGTCGAAGAAGGCCACGACCTGGCCTGTCGCTTCTCCGGGCCTGCCTCTCTATGTTCCTGCAAACACAAAGTCAGTACCGAAGGACAACGTTTGATCTCAACTGAATTTATCTAATTCGCAGGATCATCTACTCTGTTTTCCTCATGCACCGCAGGACCGATCTGTGGGGGCCCACTGGTAAGTACCTGATAATCACTCGCAAATCGGCACAACACTAATGAAGAAATTCAGCCCTCGAATTCGATCCGGATCGTTTCATCGACGACCGATTGCACAAGTACCTAACTCCGAATCCGTACATCTTCCTTCCATTCAACGCTGGACCGCGAATTTGCCTCGGCCAGCAATTTGCTTATCAAGAGGCCTCATTCTTCCTCATCCGCCTGCTGCAGAGATTCTCAACGTTCCATTTGGCATCGGACGCCCAACCCGAGGGAACCTTGCCACCGAAAAGTTGGGAAACGTGCCCGTACAAGAAGCACGAGAAAGTCACGTTCGGAGGCAACTTGACGATGTATTTCAAGGTATTGTATATTTACTCTGAAATTGGTGGAATGGCTGCTGATTCTCATCTAGGGCGGGCTGTGGGCGACGATGGTTGATGCGTCGTGATTTGAGGACGGTGACCCCAGAATTGGAGAGAAATAGTTAATGCAGTTCCCGAACGGTAGAGTTCGAATTTACTGGATGTATAATCGCCAATCGACCGATTTGTGAGATAGAAAAGTCAACCAGAAGTATAACCATCATACCATATCCCCATCTGGTATCCATCAGCACCGCTCTCCACGTCGACAATACTTTCGGTCATCTCTTCTTCCCGTTCCTCTTTACCCTTTCATTTGCGCAGTCCCTTTCCCTGACGGTCATGTCTGGCAACTTTCGTGCAAGACGGCCGGCCTCCCCACCATCGGGTGGCTCCCATTCCACATCACAACGGTTCCCACACGCGCGGCAGGACCACTTGGACGCAGATTCACGACGCGAGGCAGCGTCCCGGGGAGCTGCGCCTGGACGGTCGTCAAAGATCTACCCGCTCGGAGGGATGAACATCAGCTCTGGGGAGTGGAAGCTGCTGATCGCGTTGGTCATAGTCGCGCTCGTTGTCCGCCTGTTTCGTATTTCCCAGCCCACGAGTGTTGTGTGAGTCTTCCCATGTCTCAGGCTCTCTCCTTGCCTCATCATCCCTCGGACGGCCAGGTTCGACGAGGTGCACTTTGGCAAGTTTGCCAGTCGGTACATCAAAACGCAGTACTTCGTGGACGTGCACCCTCCGCTCGCGAAACTGTTGATCACCTTCGCGGCCTTCATTTTTGGGTACGACGGGCAATTCGATTTCAAGGACATTGGAAAGTGAGTCGCCCGTTTCCTTGTCGCGGTTTTGTATCTGAGCGCGCCGTAGACCATACGACGATGTCCCCTACGTGGCCATGCGACTTGTACCCGGTCTACTGGGCGTGGCGACTATCCCCCTCTCATATCTTACTCTCCGCGGCCTTGACTGCCGTGCGACGACTGCACTCCTTGCCTCTCTTTTTGTTACATTTGAAAACGGTCTGGTCACACAGTCCCGTTACATCCTCCTCGACTCCCCCCTCATCTTCTTCACCGCCCTCACGACGTTCTTCTGGGTCGGCTTCTGCAACGAGGATAAGCACGAGCCGTTCACAGAATCGTGGTGGGGCTGGCTGCTTATGTCCGGCCTTTCGCTCGGCGCGGTGGTCAGCTCCAAATGGGTTGGCCTCTTCACGATAGCGACAATCGGCTTGAGCACCATCCAGCAACTCTGGATCCTTCTTGGAGATCTTCGCGTCTCGCCTCGTCTGTGGATGCGTCACTTTGTCGCGCGCGCAGTTTGTCTCATCATGGTCCCGATCTTCTTCTACATGGCGATGTTCCAGATCCACTTTATGATCCTAGGAAGCTCTGGCGAAGGAGACGGATTCATGAGCTCTGAATTCCAGCATACCCTGGGTGGCCGGGGCATGTCAGACACATTCGCGGACGTTGCCATTGGGTCCCAGATCACTCTCCGTCACGTCAACACCCAAGGCGGCTATCTCCACTCGCATCTCCATAACTATCCTGTGGGCAGCAAACGTGAGTGATGCCGACTCCTCTGGTATCAGGGCTGACCATACTGCAGAACAACAAATCACTCTGTACCCCCATCGTGACACCAACAACGACTGGCGCATCGAGAATGGCACATGGGAGATCGGCAAGCCCGGAGAGCTGGTTTATATTCGTGATAAAATGCGCATCAAGCTGAAGCACATCGTCACCGAAAAACGGCTGCATTCGCACGACGTTCGTCCTCCCGTGTCCGAGGTCGACTTCCAGAACGAGGTCTCGGCCTACGGAATGGCGAACTTTGACGGAGATGCCAACGAC